TCTTACCGAGATACCAAGTCACTGAAACGTGCGTTGACGAGCCACTTCACAGTGGCCAATGCTGGGAAGAAGGACTCGGTAGAATATGAAATGCCGATAACCTGCTCTGCTATGCTGATGATGAAGATCGCAAGGTATATGTTATGGCGGCTGCCACGCAAAGTTGCTGAGAGATGCAAATGTCCGTGTAATCGGCAAACACATAAAATGAGGGTCCACCGAATAGCCGAGATTTATCATGCGGACGCTACCAACCATAATAATCAATCCAGCACTGAGGGAATGTGACTGTCCGGGTTTGCCTTGCGATTCTGGGAGCTGCTCTAGGTCTCGTGGTGCTCAATTGGCTCTTCTAGTTACTCTGAAATATATCTCGCAACATTGGCCGCGGTCATATACTCTTGAAAGGGAATGGCAGGCGCGAGGCAGCACCAACAAGGCGTAGCGCGTTGTCACGGCGTCCTTATGTCCTGCATGGATCGTTTCAAAACCATTCACTAAAGCCTAGATGGCAATAAAATCTCGCACATCTCCAGCAAGTCCGTTGGGCGAAGCCAATTTCGGCCGCATCCGATGCCAAGCACACGGCACGTAGTTTGCTCGACACCAGTGACATTATTCCTTTCTACTCCTCGGAATGGAGACGCTGGGCCCATTCGCGCTCTTGGAATGGCTGAACTCCACCATTCCACTCCTCTAATTCCTGAACGTGAAACAATGTCCACTGGCAGCCATATTTACGTGATAAGTATGTAAGTTATGTAAGAAGTATGGCCACCTCTTGTATGCAAGGAGAGGACCAGGCGCGTGTCCAGGAAAAAGAGGGGGGGGGGGGGGGGGCATTTTGCATAGCCTGGCACACTGCCAAGAGGACACTAAAATGTGCAAATAAGATTTATTATTACTATCACAATTATTATTGTGTTACTGAAGAAGGCGGCATAAAGCTGCTAACGTTATCAAACGCAGACACGACTGCAAAAGTATGCAAAGGCATCCTCAAAGCACTCATTCTGCTAAGCCCAAGGGTGGTCGCACGAAGCGCTTCGTGGCTACCTCTTGTCACTACAGACATCGATCGCGCGATCAAGCGCGATCCCAACAGACACCAAATAATAAAACCACCCATTTTCTTCGCAAACGGACCGTGTATATACCTACACAGATACATGGTTAGTGTGTTGTTTGTTCGATAATGCCTTAAAATATATTTAGTTCGTGCGTGGCAAAAGAAGCTACCTTGCTCTCTGCTTCGAATACTTGCACAACAGCACCGCTAGTGCGCTTTCAGAAGTGACGCCGCATATATCTGCCCCAAATACCCATGCACTGCACAAAAAAAAAACAAAAAAAAAACGATAAGTGCAATCTGTATTAAGGCGCCCGCACAAGGGACTGTGCCACCATCTTGTGGAACCTGCCATAAAACGTTAACTTTTACGTTTGCTGAACATTCAATCCAATTTTTACAGCGGAGCTGTTAAGGGCTAGTTTCCCCACGATCGCGTCCCCGTAAGAAATGAAGGCACCAAACTCCGAACACCTACCGCCATCTATGAGCGACGGCGGCAAGTCACGTATCTGGTTGCCGCCGTCGCTTATTGATGGCGGCAGCCATTCCACTCTGGCTTGCCGACTTGCGGCCGGCCATTACTTTCCATTGTATAGCTCCGCTGGTCTTCCTTCTTCACCAGAGTGGAAAGGCTGAAAGTTTTTTTATTTGTGTTCCAGGCAGACACTAGAAGATCGGCTGGCTTAAAGACCGACGACCAGTTCGCGCTCTCCACTTTTTCACCGCTTCCTCCTCTCCCCCCTTCTTTCGTGTCCACCATTGCCTGTTTTCTCCTCCCACAGGGTAAGGAAAATCTTCTGCCTTGGAGAATCTCGCGTCTGCTTGCCGGCCTTTAAAAGCAGGGAGTCGAATCGGCAATTATTCCGGTTCGGCTGTTCGTGACGCTTTTGAAATAATGATTCGGTTACCGCGCGATACCACCAAGCGCGATCCAGTGCAAAGCGGTTCTTGAAAGAAAAGTCCACAGCTTCAAGGCGTCAGATGCGTGAGCGACTTCATCTGTGCACAAGTGAAGCACTTGAAAAAGCCGAAAACTAAAGTGCAAACCAACACACAGCGACATCAGCCGGGCGAACAAAATCTAGCTCGCCTGGATCGGCGGCGTACAGCCCGTGGCCCCGAGCTCCCGACCTGCATGCGGAACTGAGAGCGTGCAATTCGTTTCTTCTTGAAAAAATTCTGCGCCATCTATGAAGAAAAGGCTACAAATAAATCGCGGGTGAACCCCGCGATTTCTGTGTGAATGTAGTAATTAAATTGAATTTGAATGCGCTAATGAAGAGAAACACGTATACAAGGAACCAGAGGAGTCCTCCGTCAGTTCAATAAAAAGATAAGAACGCGTTTTCGGTGCATTACAAGCCTAGAAACTTGGAATGTATGCCTTTGATAATATCAAAACTTTCACTTTTCGTTTTCTTATTGTGCGTTAACTTTTGAAAAATGCATATCCCATTCTGCACTAAGAGTGATGATGAACTGGCAATTTATTTACAAAAAGGACGAAATACTTGGCAAGCACACAGACGCGACATTTGTACCGGAAACAAGAGCGTCAGCACAGCTGGGACCGTGGGACCGCCGCCTGAATACATGATTGCAAGCAAAGCGTCCCGGCTGGTGCCCCAGCGGGTCAGCACGTGCAGCTGGTGCGTGAAGCTACCTTTGGCAGGCTTGACATTGCACGTGCTTACCCACACTGGGACAGTAACGGCGGGCGACCTTGCTCGCCAATGAGCTTTCTGGAACGTAGCTAGCACCCTCAAGCGGTGGGTGTGAGGCATTATGGGAACAATGAGGGTCGCTGCTACCGCCGTACCGCCTGCGAGAACCACGTAGCCAACGCTCGCGTTCGGTCCCTCTGCACGGCAGACGGCAATCTTTGCAGCGCCCTGCGCTGCGCTGCCCATATGAGGAACCTTCAGTCGCGGCACGTCCGTCCACTGCCCTTTTTTAAACGGGCCATCCTTCTGGATGGGACACTGTTCTTTTACGAATAGGCCACCACGCGAGGGCAGGCTCCAAAAGTGCGACGTGCGCATCCAACGTGTTTTTGTCTTGCTACGGGAATTAGTTTAGAGTGTTCGTACACATTACATTCTTTTTCCAATAATAACTGAAAAAAAAAAAAAAACTCAGCTCGCTATAACTACGTTTGGAAACCGTTAGCTCGCCTGGACGCATTAACGGATTAGGAAGGGTGCTGCAGTCCGGATGGCATCGTGCATGCACCGCGTAGCATGCAAAGGCTCGATTAGGCTAGACTCTGTTTGGCTAAAGGGCGCGACACCCTCACAGTCACCGTAATGCCCCGGAAAGCTCCAGGAAGGTCCATTGTGTATACGAGATGTGACAAAACTTGCGAAATTACCAATAGCGCGCAACTCGTAGGGATTCGATGGGACGAATGCGTCCAGTTTTAACGCATTCGCGTCCTTTCATCCGCTAGACCATATCAGGCGCAGTTATGCCCCGTGACTCGCGCTTTTAGTACGCGTTCGCGAGCCAACGACTGCGCTCTGACATAAGGTAAGCGAAGTACACGGGGAGCATAAAAAATACGCAAAAAAATATCCGTGCCATTTTCTTACTTATGTTATCGTCTCTAAATATTCGGGTCAACCAGCATTTATATATATATATATAGTAAGTCCACCTCGGCACAAGGCGTAGCAGACTTTTGTTCGTGACGGAATATTGCGGCGCTCAGTGAGCGGCACTTTCCGTAGCTGCAATCGAGCAGCGCCAAAAGTATATATCGTCACGGCGATTGTCATCCTTGTGCTTTTGCCGTCCCCGGGTTAAACCAATCATTTGTGTCTATAATTTTTTTCTTAGACGCTCCTATTAGGTGCATAGAGGTGATGAGCGTCTAGACGATATCCTTTCGGCTCCGATCGACCGGCCCCCATCGAATCGTTGAGTCGGCTGCGGTACGACTCGATCTCAAACGCAAAACATATGCGCCTGAAGTAAGTGAGGGAGGTGTCCGCGAAAGAAGACACGACACATGCCCGCCGAGCTCCGAAGCGCAACGGCACTGCCCCATAAAGATATCGATGCAGCGATAACCATCTAGCAGAGTCCGCGTTGTGGTTTCTTTTATTTTCTTCTTTCCGCGTATGAAACACGTTGACGAAAAAGAATTGAAAAAGAAACTGTCGAATGCAAGACAGTTTTGGCAGAGAATCTCAAAAACAACGACGAAACCCGAACCACGGCAAAAATAATAATTAAAAAATAAATAAAAGCCGGCACGATTATAGGCCACTTTCACGAAGACGCACAACGCAGACAAAAAAACGTTTTTTTTTTTTTTCCTGCATGAGATAACACAAAGACGAGCTCGATTAAGGAAAAAAAAAAAAGATAATACCAGACTTGGCGTGAATATACATACTAATCGCGTCTGAATCACCAAATCGTTTCCACTCAAAAAAAAAAAAAAATGAAGCGAGGCCACAAATTATTTCACAGTCACCTCGATGCAGACGATCACACTGAATGAAGCGGAGTTGCTCTCAAACATCCACCCGAACGCGGAACATAAACGAGGGTCATTCGAGCAGTACACAACACGAACCGAACATCGAAAGCAGCGACAGCAACACGTTCCCAACTCATTCGAAAAGGTCGTAATAACAACAAAAAATACGCAACATTTCCAAAGTCGCGTTCGCGTTAATAGTGCCGCAGACTCCACAGCAAACACGTGACGAGCAGTCTTATTTACGCCACCGACAGCGCTACTTCGAGCACGATTCAAAATCCCAACGGCGTCCCAATCACGTGCGAATGGAGAACGATCTCGTCACGGCGGCCACTCACACACCGTCACCGCATCAAAAGCACGTAATCCCACACCGCCTCGACGGTTTCTCGAGGCGCCTCGAGGATCACGTGGCGGAAGAAATCGTCGAAAACTCACCTCGGCAAAATACGCTCGACGATCGCTTCAATTTTGGCAATCTCCTTATCAGTCATACCTCCACCTCAGAGACACGCTCTACGGGGGGGCTTTTGCTGTCGCATTCGACACCCCGGCCAGCAGAAACGGACCGACGACGACCAAGACGACCACGGGAGGGGGGGAGTTATGACACACCGACAAGTCAACACACGTCCACGAAAACACACAACACACAGATACAGAGAGACACCACCACCGCCGCCGCCGACACCACTTCGAGCAGAGAAGACGACACTGCGTCGCACGCAGTCGCGAACAGCGAATCAATCTGCGAACACACGAACACGCGTATTTTTGGGGGGGGCTACTCGGTCCTCGCCCGTTAGGCCTAGCACTCTTTTTTTTTTTATCCGACAGAGACAAGGCGAAATCAGCCCAACCAACCAGCTTCATCCGCGAGCCATTCTGCGTTGATAAGGCGGCCACGAAGGACGGCGAGAGTAAAGCGTTCCTTATCGGAGGAGAGGGAAAGAGGGGAGGGGGGCACTTGTTGCCAGACGAGGTCCAAAAGGGCAGCAGCCAACGCGGTTCGGACCAGATAGCGAACACGCGCAAACTCCGGCTTTCCAACGTCGCGGGCAGAAGAGGACAGGCATGCGTTTTCCGTCAGCCGATAAGCTCGAGCTTCCAATCAGTTTTTACCCCCCCCCCCCCCCTCCCTTTCCAAACGCAACCCCCTCCCCTCAACAAAAACAAAGAAGAAGAGAAAAAATAAAAGAAAAGAAAAGGCTCATCCAAATTTAAGCTAGCACCGAACCAGCACACTTGAGAAAAGGGTATTTCGGGAAGTCATTTAGTCCGCCGCTACAAAGCGAGAACCGTGCTGGACCAATACAAGAGAAGGCCTGCACCTCACCGCCGCCGCCCCCCAGCAGACGTCATCATTAATGGATCCGCGCGGCGCCCACCAGATCGCGTCAGCATCGCCGCCAGCGCGTCGCGCAGCGTCAGTGAGCCACAAACGATGACGTCATTCGCAGGCCTTGTATTCTAGGTGATATCGGCTGAAGCGCGTGTGCCGCGGACCGACCGACCGCTTCGAATGCTGCGAGAGAAATCCCTGCGTTGTTTCCGCTCGGTTCGAAGAAGAGGTGACTCGGGCAAAAAGCGCGAGGTCTCCCATCTGCGCGTGTTCACAAAGCGCCAACACGGTACACACACACACACAAAAAAAAAAAAAAAAAATATATATATATATATATGATCACTTGGTTAAAATATTTAATTAGATTACTTGAAATGAAAAGTAATGGGCCGTTACTTGAAAAAGTAACCCTCGTGATTACTTCAAAATAAATGTATTTTATAGAATACAAAATTACTCTAAAAAGTAATATATTAGGAGTAATTTGATTATTTGTAATGTGTGCCGTACAAGTCCGAATCAAAGCCGGCGAACATTCTACCTCTCCGTGAAATGTCATCGCAGTAGGATGACGGCAACTCGGCGTGCCGGACGCCGAGCCGAACGCTGACGGAACACTCGAATCCAGTAATGTGTCTGCGCTCGATCTCACTGAACGACGACGTCAGAATGCTGGTGCTCGGACTCCGGCGAAATCGAAAGCACCTAGCGACTGGGCGGCAGAATATTCGCTCTCCAGCCTTCTCGAGCGAATCACATGTGCACAGCGCCAGGTGGTCGAAAGAAGAGGCCCAGAAGAGTGGATGAAGAACAAGAGATGAAAACCGCCAATGGTGGTGTTGGGCAAGTCCATTCTCACTGGGCATTGGATTTTATATTCCAGGATAGCGTCTATGGAGGACACTGGCCCCCTTTTTTTCTTTTTTTGTCCTCTTTTGGTAAAAAGACTGCTGGTTGATTTTCCATAGTTTATGAACGTTTCAGAGACAAGAAGAAAAAAATTCACAAGATATTGAGTGTTGGCGAGGTACCTCAAAAGGCACTGTCGAGTACAAGTTCCAGCTCACCCCTGCCCACTCCAATATGTAGAGCAACGATAATGAAGTTTCTGTTTTCTTGGTAACTCGAAAGTTACGGCTCGTTTGTGTTTCTCCACTTCACAATAAAAAAAATGTCACGAAAAAAAAAAATCGTATTGCGAAAATAATTACGCATTGCTGAACGCTCATAGCCCAAAAGTAGCACTATAGCTACGGTGCCTGGAACGCGTTTCCGACTGGTGTGTTTACCGGGTCCAAAGAAAGTGGTCCCTCAAGTTCCGCCTGATGACGTCATAGAAGGGTCATGCTGTCGCCGGTCGCGATCCTGGCGCCGTTTCAACAGTTGTGGTGTATGTGGCAGTCGCCTGTTCTGCTGCAGGTCGCTCTCCTATGCGGCAGTCCACGGAAGGTACAGCAGCCGGAAGTTGGGACGCCTGGAAGGCCGTGACGACAGCGACACTCACGTTCGCCTGCGGGGTTTCGCCAGCATTTCTACGACCAACCGCCAGGATCGCGACAGGCAACAGCATGACACTCCGGCTTCTGTGATGTCATTTGTTGCCACTTGGGGACCACTTTTGATGTATGGGCGGGATAGGACGCTAAACACATCAGTCGAAGACGCGCTCCAGGCACCATACTATAGCGGTTCAAACAAGATGCTAACGTTTCAGATCTAACCCTTATACCATTCGAAAGTTCTAAGAGATATAACTTTTGAATGGGATAGCGATTAGTTCTCAAACACTGGCATCTGGTTCCGACTGCTAGCGCTACAGTTAAGCAGAGAATGAGCGTTCAGCGATGCTTAGTCTACTTCTGCAATAAAAATAACGCCAAAACTTTTTTTTTTTTTTTTTACACATTGTATTTAGTTAGAACGGACGCTTTGGAGCGGCTTAGCAACTGTAAAATAGCGTGGTGGTAGTCAGAGCGCTGAAACAGCTCGAATGACGTCAGTCGCAAGCTAAATCACACAGACAGATTGATAACCCCATCCAAGGGCACGGCATGATATATGGGCCAGCTTTAGCTGATCCCTATCAGCGTCTTATCGAGTTACTAAATGATCCACTTATTCGGTAGATTAGTTAGCTTATCGGTGTCTCGTCTGACTCAAACCGCGCGTAGTTCTTCGCGAAAAGAGGGACTGCTGTATCACCAGAAAATACTCGGTGGTATGAATCATTTAGGGAGAAGAAACTAATTCGTTTCCAACCGATCGGCTGCAGATGTGCACATTATACTAGCTAGAAGTAATAAAATTACTCATCAATTCCCCTTCTTAGTAATTTCGTAATCATTTTAGCACATTTATTCGGAAGTAATCGCGAGAGCAATTTCCCTTTTTAGTAATTTCGTAATCATTTTAGCAGATTTATTCGGAAGTAATTGCGAGAGCAATTTGATTACGTTTGGAAGTACGAGAAGTACGTGTAACCGTTACACATCTTACTCCTTTGCAGCTAGAAGTTGCTAAGAAATAAGTCATCGAACCAAGTCTCCCCGACAAGGATGGCTTACCAAAATTGGTGAATCAATAATGTAAGTATCTAATAATTTGGTGACTTTAATCCAATGCGCCGAGAGGCTGAGGGAGAAAAGGAGACGAGCGTGCACAGAAACCTCAGAACGCTGAGCTTTGGTTCGAATGCTTAGATGGGTAGAAGTCAGCTGCCTTTGTCTCCATTGCACTTGTCCAACACATTGGAATGTCAGAGCCAAACACTGATTTCTATCGTAGCAGGCCGTATCGCGAATAGAGACTTGTCTCGCTGGGGTCGAGCGGCACCACCACCAGCAAACACCACTCGACACCAACTAACTACCAACCAACCACCAACCTTCTGCGGAAGAAACGGCGAAAAATGTGATTTCTTAGCTCAGTAGGTTGTGCTTGACGGTGAAACTTTCATCGTGTTTTCCGGGAATGATAGTTGCACAAATGGCAAAAGCGTTATAATACCTTTTTTTTTTTTAATAAATGCTTTGTGATTGAGGGCCGAGGGTAGCGACTTTGTTGAGCGTAAACTGTAATCCCGCTCAATGAGACAAAGGCTGCCGAGAGTCAATGTGGAGCCGTTCGCGATCTTGTTCGTGATCTCGAAGTCCACAGAGCTTAGCAGACAACAAGTCAGAAGGCATTTACAGGGGGCATTCGCGTCTTTTCAAGTGCTTGTACGGAGTACAAGCACTTGCGACTTCCGCAAGCGCTTCCGACTTCCGGTGCAAGCCTTTGCTTCGAGCTGCAACGAGGGGTTCTGCGACGAACTAAAACCCGAAATGTGTCGCTCATTTGTCGAACACGTCACTTATTTAGCCACAGAAGCGAGCGACGCCGGCACAGTCGGTTGTACTCCGGTACACTTTTTTTTGGAATCGGCCTCATGAACGTTTGACAAATATCGATTCAATCTCCAAACACCCGATAAAATGATTACGCGGCACATCATTAAATACTCGCCTTCGAGCACCGCGTACAAACTTCAAAATTCCTTCTCTCGAGTTTCTCCCATAGACTTGCACGTATACTGCCTGGTGTCAAACAATGGTCGCCGGTGCTGCCACCGACGGGCTCCCGATCCCTGATCCAGCCCCACTACAATAGGGATCAGTGGAGCCAACAGGGGACGCCGGCGTTCCGCACTCTGACGTGTTCGACGAGTCCGGTGGAGACCAAGGCTTGCTATAACTTTATGTCTACCCACCAATCCCTCTAACCAGAGCTCGGCGTTCGTTCCCTGCTCTCCCTCAGTTTCTCGGCGCTTAATGGACAGTGCGAAAGACCATGGTTTTCAAACCGGCAGATATATCTTGTTCTGAAAATCTGAAGTATTCGGAAAAGCAGCGGTTACTTTTTCAAAGAAAAGGCCAATAACGTTTCTCCTTAAGTAATCAAGTAATCTAATTGAATACTTTTCGACAAAGAGTAATTGTAATTGTAATCGATTACTTTTTCGAGTAACGTGAAGAACTAATCAGCTGCTACTGTTTTTTTTCCCCCTTTTTAAAGCGGTTCTACTTATAAATATAAATTTCAGTTCCACCAACGTAGACCATCAAGTGACACACTCCGCTCAATCAGTGTTTCCCAAACTGTGGGTAGCGAGCCCAACGGGAGAGTCGAGGCAAATTTAACAAAAACTCGGAAACATAAAAAAAAAAAAAAAAAAAAAATGCAATTTGGATTTTTTTTTTTTTTTATTTTATTTTGCGGCGCTAATAAAACAAAGTACGGGTTGTGGTGCAACATATCGAGTCGGAACGGTGAGTTGCGCATCCCAATTCCGCCCTCGTTTCGAGAAACTGAATAACAGCTTACTTTAGCCATTAGAAACAATCATTTTCGCTGACATGGGTTCTTTTTTTTGCGATGGTTTTTAATTGAATTGAATTACCCTCCGATTATACCAAGTGTGAAATACATTTTTAGCGTCGATATTGCGGATTACTCTTCACGCTCTGAAATTGAAAAGCTTGTGGCATTGCAAAAATCCGCGTGGTCGCGACGCTGTACTTCCTTTTTGTCATACGAATCGTAGGGTAGCAGTGTTTGGGAAGTGACTTCCCGAACTCACAAAAATAAAATACAGCGTCGCGACCCCCCCCCCCCCCCCCCCCTTTTTTTCGCGATGCCAAATAATTATAGCATATTCTGTTAAGCTTTCTTTCTCTTTTTTGTGTG